GAGTGAATTGACAAGACATACACCATTCGAAAGCTAATCGCCTGAGATTTTAGCATGGCAAGTTTCAGCATTTTTGGAATCAAACTACGCCCACACTGGGCGAAACACTCTGATATTATACTAGACACCGGTTTTGAAAAAAGGTGAATTAGTGATGACGGAGTGAATTGACAAGACATACACCATTCGAAAGCTAATCGCCTGAGATTTTAGCATGGCAAGTTTCAGCATTTTTGGAATCAAACTACGCCCACACTGGGCGAAACACTCTGATATTATACTAGACACCGGTTTTGAAAAAAGGTGAATTAGTGATGACGGAGTGAATTGACAAGACATACACCATTCGAAAGCTAATCGCCTGGGATTTTAGCATGGCAAGTTTCAGCATTTTTGGAATCAAACTGCGCCCACACTGGGCGAAACACTCTAATATTATACTAGACACCGGTTTTGAAAAAAGGTGAATTAGTGATGACGGAGTGAATTGACAAGACATACACCATTCGAAAGCTAATCGCCTGAGATTTTAGCATGGCAAGTTTCAGCATTTTTGGAATCAAACTACGCCCACACTGGGCGAAACACTCTGATATTATACTAGACACCGGTTTTGAAAAAAGGTGAATTAGTGATGACGGAGTGAATTGACAAGACATACACCATTCGAAAGCTAATCGCCTGAGATTTTAGCATGGCAAGTTTCAGCATTTTTGGAATCAAACTACGCCCACACTGGGCGAAACACTCTGATATTATACTAGACACCGGTTTTGAAAAAAGGTGAATTAGTGATGACGGAGTGAATTGACAAGACATACACCATTCGAAAGCTAATCGCCTGAGATTTTAGCATGGCAAGTTTCAGCATTTTTGGAATCAAACTACGCCCACACTGGGCGAAACACTCTGATATTATACTAGACACCGGTTTTGAAAAAAGGTGAATTAGTGATGACGGAGTGAATTGACAAGACATACACCATTCGAAAGGTAACCTCCTAAGATTTTAGCATGGCAAGTTTCAGCATTTTTGGAATCAAACTACGCCCACACTGGGCGAAACACTCTGATATTATACTAGACACCGGTTTTGAAAAAAGGTGAATTAGTGATGACGGAGTGAATTGACAAGACATACACCATTCGAAAGCTAATCGCCTGAGATTTTAGCATGGCAAGTTTCAGCATTTTTGGAATCAAACTACGCCCACACTGGGCGAAACACTCTGATATTATACTAGACACCGGTTTTGAAAAAAGGTGAATTAGTGATGACGGAGTGAATTGACAAGACATACACCATTCGAAAGGTAACCTCCTAAGATTTTAGCATGGCAAGTTTCAGCATTTTTGGAATCAAACTACGCCCACACTGGGCGAAACACTCTGATATTATACTAGACACCGGTTTTGAAAAAAGGTGAATTAGTGATGACGGAGTGAATTGACAAGACATACACCATTCGAAAGCAAATCGCCTGAGATTTTAGCATGGCAAGTTTCAGCATTTTTGGAATCAAACTACGCCCACACTGGGCGAAACACTCTGATATTATACTAGACACCGGTTTTGAAAAAAGGTGAATTAGTGATGACGGAGTGAATTGACAAGACATACACCGTTCGAAAGCTAATCGCCTGAGATTTTAGCATGGCAAGTCTCAGCTTTTTTGGAATCAAACTACGCCCACACTGGGCGAAAAACTCTGATATTATACTAGACATCAGTTTGAAAAAAAGTGAATTAGTCATGACGGAGTGAATTGACAAGACATACACCATTCGAAAGGTGACCTTCTAAGATTTTAGCATGGCAAGCCTCAGCTTTTTTGGAGTCAAACTACGCCCACACTGGGCGAAAAACTCTGATATTATACTAGACATCAGTTTGAAAAAAAGTGAATTAGTGATGACGGAGTGAATTGACAAGACATACACCATTCGAAAGGTGACCTCCTAAGATTTTAGCATGGCAAGTCTCAGCTTTTTTGGAATCAAACTACGCCCACACTGGGCGAAAAACTCTGATATTATACTAGACACCGGTTTTGAAAAAAGGTGAATTAGTGATGACGGAGTGAATTGACAAGACATACACCATTCGAAAGGTGACCTCCTAAGATTTTAGCATGGCAAGTCTCAGCTTTTTTGGAATCAAACTACGCCCACACTGGGCGAAAAACTCTGATATTATACTAGACATCAGTTTGAAAAAAAAGTGAATTAGTGATGACGGAGTGAATTGACAAGACATACACCATTCGAAAGGTGACCTCCTAAAATTTTAGCATGGCAAGTCTCAGCTTTTTTGGAATCAAACTACGCCCACACTGGGCGAAAAACTCTGATATTATACTAGACATCAGTTTGAAAAAAAAGTGGATTAGTGATGACGGAGTGAATTGACAAGACATACACCATTCGAAAGGTGACCTCCTAAGATTTTCGCATGGCAAGCCTCAGCTTTTTTGGAATCAAACTACGCCCACACTGGGCGAAAAACTCTGATATTATACTAGACATCAGTTTGAAAAAAAGTGGATTAGTGATGACGGAGTGAATTGACAAGACATACACCATTCGAAAGGTAACCTCCTATGATTTTAGCATGGCAAGTTTCAGCTTTTTTGGAATCAAACTACGCCCACACTGGGCGAAAAACTCTGATATTATACTAGACATCAGTTTGAAAAAAAGTGAATTAGTGATGACGGAGTGAATTGACAAGACATACACCATTCGAAAGGTGACCTCCTAAGATTTTAGCATGGCAAGTCTCAGCTTTTTTGGAATCAAACTACGCCCACACTGGGCGAAAAACTCTGATATTATACCAGACATCAGTTTGAAAAAAAGTGAATTAGTGATGACGGAGTGAATTGACAAGACATACACCATTCGAAAGGTGACCTTCTAAGATTTTAGCATGGCAAGCCTCAGCTTTTTTGGAGTCAAACTACGCCCACACTGGGCGAAAAACTCTGATATTATACTAGACATCAGTTTGAAAAAAAGTGAATTAGTGATGACGGAGTGAATTGACAAGACATACACCATTCGAAAGGTGACCTCCTAAGATTTTAGCATGGCAAGTCTCAGCTTTTTTGGAATCAAACTACGCCCACACTGGGCGAAAAACTCTGATATTATACTAGACACGGGTTTTGAAAAAAGGTGAATTAGTGATGACGGAGTGAATTGACAAGACATACACCATTCGAAAGCTAATCGCCTGAGATTTTAGCATGGCAAGTTTCAGCATTTTTGGAATCAAACTACGCCCACACTGGGCGAAACACTCTGATATTATACTAGACACCGGTTTTGAAAAAAGGTGAATTAGTGATGACGGAGTGAATTGACAAGACATACACCATTCGAAAGGTAACCTCCTAAGATTTTAGCATGGCAAGTTTCAGCATTTTTGGAATCAAACTACGCCCACACTGGGCGAAACACTCTGATATTATACTAGACACCGGTTTTGAAAAAAGGTGAATTAGTGATGACGGAGTGAATTGACAAGACACACACCATTCGAAAGGTAACCTCCTAAGATTTTAGCATGGCAAGTTTCAGCATTTTTGGAATCAAACTACGCCCACACTGGGCGAAACACTCTGATATTATACTAGACACCGGTTTTGAAAAAAGGTGAATTAGTGATGACGGAGTGAATTGACTGTCGCGACCACCGCGAAAAGCCTAAAGACGCCTGCTGTAAAGTGCGTCAAAAATTTCTTTTCCCAAAAAATTTCTTTCCAATAGATTTAAAAATTAGATAGGCCAAATTTCGGGATAGGGCCGTCTCGATTTCTTTATATAAATTTTTGATCTTTATTTTTATATATTCTATATATTTAATTGTCGATTTCATTATATATCGGGAATATTTTTTGTTTTGGTTTATTAACCCAAGTTTGAGGTTTTGAATAAAGTTTGGTCAACAATCGAGTTACCAACATCTTAAATTATTGTACAACGGAGTACAATAATTATCATTGTCGAGCGCACGGAGTCGCGGCGACAAACTGGGGGCTCAGCCGGTGATTTGGCTGCTATTGGTGGAAAAGAAGAACGCTGGTGCCATTCGTTGACGTCATCAGTTGGTGAAATTGATGAAGAAGATCTGATCGCTGGAGATCAAGCAATTTTTCAAGTCTACTCAAGATCGCTGGAGATCAAGCAATTTTCAAGTCAACTCAAGATCGCTGGAGATCAAGAAAGTTTCAAGTGGATTCAAGATCGCTGGTAATCAAGACCGCTGGTACAGGAAGTGGTACAGGTAGACAACCAGAACAGTTTTATCTTTAGTTAATCTATAATTTCGGAAATTTTCTTTGTAAAATTTTTATTTTTGCCTTCTCACTCCGACTTAATAAGTTGCAAAATTTCGAAATTTATTTTTATTTTTGTTTTCTCCACCCTTACTTAGTTTGAATTGTTCATCCACATTACATTTATAAGTTACAAAATTTCCAATTTATTTTTATTTTTGTTTTCTCCACCATTACTTAGTTTGAATTTTTCATCTACATTACAGTTACAAGCTACAAAATTTCCAATTTATTTTATTATTTGTTTTTCTCCACTATTTTGCCTTTTTCAACACTGATTTATATATTTTACACTTCGCCATTTCACAGTTTATTTTGTTTTTGGACTAGTTACATATTTTTCCTTCTCACTTATTCCAATTTTATTGTATTAACGGGCCTTATAGCAAATTTTCGAACTTATAATTCACACTATAGATTGTGAAACTTAAAAAATTCTTACTATAAAACCCCGAGAATAAAAAACCATTCTCTCCAAAAAATTACATCAAAACTTTTCGATTCCCCTTACAACATAACATAATTTTCGTCGTGGGATTACTACTACGTTTCGTTTAAGCTTTTTACTACTTCACTCTTTATACTCATCTCTATTTCTTTAAACCACAAACAACTACAATGGAGACGAAACCATCTAAAAAAGGTTACATATCCCGTAGCATGCATTTACGACCAATCCTCACACAATTATCAGAAAAAGTTACAAAAATCTTCACGGAGAGCGCAACGTTGACATGTTACACAGAATATACCGAAAAGGAGCCAGAAGAAAATCTCCTTTTAGCCCAAAATACTGCATCTAAACTTCGAGAAGCGATTGAGACCGGAGAAAGCCTTCGGGCATCACTCGACAAATACTACAATCAGTACGTCGAGCTCATGAACTCTTTGGGTCCAGAAGAATATGGACAAGAAGAAGTCCACTACCAAAGTTTACTCAACACACATTACATCCCTACTACCCTCGTCAACACACAAGAAGAGTTAAGCCGTCTAAAGAGCGAATACGACCTCAACATAGGCCTAATTGAGATGCTAAAGAGAAAAATGAGTGTAAACGTCGCGATAGAGTCATCGAACGTCTCAAGATCACACAGCCCAGCGTCATTTACAAACCAGACGAGACGGCCGCAACCTCTTAAATTAGGACCCGTCGAAAAGATCACCTTTTCCGGCAACGTTCTCGACTATCCCGCCTTCCGAGAAGCAATGAAAGTCATCGATGCGTCGGATAACAGTACATATGCCAAGTTCCTCTACTTAAAACAGAGTACCAAAGGCATAGCCTTCGATGCCATCAAATCACTTACTCTCACAGAATCAAACTACCAACTAGCCAAGGATCTACTGGAGAAGCACTTCGGTTCAGACGACCTGCTAGTTGATAGCCTTTTGAAATCACTTCAAAATTTACCAGCACCGACCAGAACAGCAGGGAGTTTGCAGAGATACTACTTTGAGTTAGAAAGCATACTGCAACAACTTCAAAACCAAGAAGTTCATACAGACGATGGCATCCTGCGCAACATGATCACCCAAAAACTTCCTGATCAAATTTTAGAACGAATAATCCGCCGAAGACACAAAATCAAAGAGGAGAACAAAGTCTGGAACACAGACGCCTTAATGAAAGAATTAAAAAGGATCATCGAAGAGATGTTAGACCTAGAGCGACTACAAGGCAAAAGCAAACAAGTACCATCGAAGGTTATGGTGGCGATAAACCCCTCAAAATCAAAAGAACAAGGTGAAAAAATCGCCCGGCCATGTGTATTTTGTCAACATCTCGATCACTACAGTAAAGACTGCCCAATGGCAGATACAGTAGCGAAACGAAAAGACTCCCTGAGAAAATCCAGACGTTGTTTTAAATGCTTACAAAAGTGGGAGTCCGGGCACAAATGTTCCAAAACCTGTTATTACTGCAAAAAAGAACACAATACCTTACTTTGTTCACAACCTAAACCCAGGGCTGTATTTGTAACCATGGATGAAGACGCACAATCCGAAGTCGAAGATGATTACCCATTTTACGACAGCGACCCAGAGACCGACGCAGATCCCAACGAAACAGAAGAACACGGAGAACCGACTTGGGACGACTCAATGGTTTGTGTCCTTCGAAGCTCTGGAGAAAAGGCCTTGCTATCAACCGTAGAGCTAGTATTGAGAAACCCAGACAACGGCCGACAGTTCCGAACACTAGCCATCCTCGACAGTGCTTCTGAAACAACGTACATTACAGAGACCGCCGCCGCATCTTTGAACCTTAAGAAAAACGCGGAAACAGAACACAAATCTCGGACCGAAACCTTCGGTGGAACACAACACGTCACCAGATCGTCAAAAGTATCCGCTGAGTTTTTACTGTTAAATGGAGACTCTATTCCTTTCGTTGCCAGAACCACCCCCTCCATTGTGAACTTAGTCCGCACTGTCTCCGTTAAAGGAAAGCAAAAATTAACCGACAAAAAAAGGCCCCATTTATTAATTGGAGGCGACTTGATCTGGGCTCTACTTCCAGTAAAAAGAGAAAAAACAAATAATCCAGAGGTCATGAAAATCGAGACGAAAGTCGGGCCGATTCACCTATTCTCCGATGCCTTCCACTTGGGCAATAGGCAATTTGAAGACGACGAAATCGCTCCGTTAGTTCTGCAGGACCTCACCCCTAAAGAGCTAGACAAACAAATACAGAAACTTTGGACATTAGAAGGAATTGGAATCACAGAACGTGCCGACTCCCGACAAGAAGATATCGAAGACGTGACAAAACGTTTTTGTACCCAAATCGAAGAAAAAGAAGGCCAGCTCCATGTCAACTGGTTGTGGAAAAAGGACAAACCTCAAGTTCCAGAAAACAAGAAAATCGCATTTAGCCGTTTATTACAAATGCAGAAACGCGTGTTAGCAGATGAAAGTCTTCAAAAACTCTTACGGGACTTCATCAACGAACAGCAACACAGAGGATTCATTGAAGAAGTAGACATGAGGTGCCCCCCAGACGGCCCAGTCTCCTACCTCCCCTTCCAACTAGTCTACACTCCGGGAAAAACCACACCCGTGCGATGTGTTTTTGACGCATCAAGTCATACGAAAAATCAACCTTCACTCAACGATTGTTTTGAGAAAGGACCTCTCCTACTTCCCGATCTTACAAGTTTATTGATCAACTTTCGATTCGCGGAATTCGCGTGTGTCAGCGACTTGGAAAAAGCTTTTAACAGTCTAGCACTCAAACCGGATCAACGTGATGTCACACGTTTTATCATTCCTACAGATTGGACAAGCATCAAAGATTCTACCGTCAAAGTGTTTCGGTTTAAAGTAGTTAACTTTGGAACCATCTGCGCACCTACCATGCTGGCATTAAGCCTTCGATGGTTTCTAGAACATCACAGACTCAAATCAGACCCGGACATATTAAAGCGAACCTATGTCGATAACATTCTATCTCAAGCCGCCACTGAAGAGGAATTAGTCGCGAAAGCCAAAGAAGCGAAACAACTCCTCAGCACGGTCAGATTTCACCTCCGCGAATTTTACTCAAATTCGGCTGAATTGATGAAGGAGCTAAACCCCACAGAAACTAGAGACTCAACAAAGTTTCTGGGAAAAAACTGGAACTTTCAACAAGACTTAATCTTGATGACGACGCCAACACTTCAACCCATATCTACAAAACGAAGTCTTTTACAGTTCAGAGGGAAACACTTTGATCCAGAAGGACTAACATGCCCCTTGACTCTTCCTTTAAACCTCATCTTACAAGCCACATGGTCTATTCCGAACTTAACATGGGATGACCCATTACCACCCCACATCATGGAAGAGCTAAACAACGTCGTCCCCTTCTGGGAAACTCCCACAACGTTTCGAATTCCACGCAAAATAATTAACTGGAATCAACCATATTATCTTCACGCGTTCACCGATGGCTCGAAAGTTGGTATTGGCATCTTGATTTACTTAGCCGCTCTAGCAGAAGACCGCACGTTCGAATTACCTCAATTGATCATGGGCAAATCTCGAGTAGCACCGAAAAAAGCAAATTTGGATTCCGAACTAACCATTCCAACCACGGAAATTGTGTCCATTTCCAGCGGTGTCCTCCTGCTACAATTTGTCGAACAACACCTTCCCTTCCCTCCAGAAAAGATCATCCTTTGGAACGATAGTCGTTCTTCTTTGGAATCACTTATCAGAAACATGGATCACAAATCAGTTTTCGTAAAAAATCGATTACGTTTGATCCGCGATAAAGGACGAAATTACGAAATTCGGCATGTACCGGGTAAAGAAAACAGCGCAGACATTCCGTCCCGAGGAATAGTCAACCCCGCCGACTTAGTAGAAAATAAATTCTACTGGCACGGACCCAAATTCTTGCAAAACCCAGAAGATTGGCCTTCCGAACTCGTTATACCAGCTGGATCTTTCGAGGAGGACCAAACAACAGTGGCCGTCGTCACCCCACCAGAACCTCTGATTGACCCCGAACGGTTCGGTTCTTGGAGTAAACTTCATTTAACCGCCAGAATAGTCATCAATTTTACACGGAAACTGCAGAAAAAGCCTGCCGCAAACAATGCTGAGGTGGATCGTCTACTCTTCCTCCTGGATCAACAACGGAACCCTCCCTCGGAGAAAGAGATCACCGACTTCAGGCTCTTCCAAGACCAACATAACCTCTGGCGTTGCGACATCCGCCTACAGGAAAGCGACCTACCTCCAGCCGCAAAAACCCCTATATGGCTACCGAATTCGCATCAGACACGTCTAATCATCAGACACTACCATAATCAAAAGCTTCATGCCGGAGTTGATCTTACCTTATGCCAACTACGGACCAAATATTGGGTAAAAAGAAGCTTTGTGAGGAAAACCATCAAAACTTGTAGTTTTTGTAAGCGTCAAAAGTCAAAACCCTTCGAATTTCCCCCTTTCGCACCACTCCCCCAAACACGGTGTACACAAGGGATCCCGTTCGATGCCGTCGGAGTTGACACCTGTGGACCCTTCAAGGTGAAAGACCACGAAGATGTTCATGTCCTGATTTTTTCGTGTCTCAAATATCGAGTCCTCCATACAGAAGTTATAGCCAGCTTGCAAACCACTGATATTATCCACGGTTTTACAAGATTCATTTCACGAAGAGGACCCCCTTCACAAATCTTGAGTGACAATCACCCCTCACTGTGCGCCGCCAAAGACTTCCTTCAGAAAACCCACCAGACTAATCAAAATTTTTGTTGGAGTTTTATCACACCAAGGTGTCCTTGGGAGGGCGCTTCGTACGAAAGGATTATCGCAGAGTTAAAAAGAGCAATGAAAAACTCCGGAACAAAATCCAAATTGGACATTGAAGAGTTCCGAACGTTGATATCCCGATCGGAAGAAGTGGTAAATTCCAGACCTCTCACCGCACAATCTGACGACGTTAACGATCTTCGAGCGATAAAACCTTTCGACTTTATCGGTGTCCGATCAGACTACGAAGGAGACAGTGAAGGAGATGAACCAGAAGAAGAAGAAAGAGACCCAACTTACGTAGAACGAGAAAATCTACAAGAAACTCTACGAAAGAAGAAAAATAGAATAGAGGCAAGATTAGAAAAGTTCAAGACGTTCTGGATAAAACATTATCTTCAATATCTAGCCGAGAAGAATTCGAAAAAACGGAACAATGGGATAAGAAGAACCCCAATTGTAGGAGAATTGACATTAGTCGCGGACCCCACCTTACCAAGACAGCAATGGAAATTAGGAAGGATCCAACACCTAAACGAAGGCCGTGACGGTATCGTGAGAACTGCCGATGTCTTAGTGGCGGATAACTTGAAGAATTATCCAGCCGAAACCTCCAGAAAAATCATAAAAAGGAACATCACTCAACTCTACAGCCTGGAAATCACACCAAGCGAAGACACAGATTGGCTGAAAGAGTTACTACCACAACCGGATGTCGAAATACCGGCACCTCGAAGATCACCGAGAACAAAGAAATTGAATCTGGCCTCAGAACAATTCAACCTCCTGTCAATAAACACCGTGTTAATGGTGTTGTCAATTGTTTTCATGCTAATCTACCCAAGCGAGGGCTACAATTTCTGCCCCATGGATACAAGGCCAGTTTACTGGCGACCGACACCAATGCGCGCATGTTCGGTTCCTTATATGGAAAATCTTACCCCAACAACCGTGGTGGTGTATCAAGCGAATCACGTAGAATACAAGACAAAGGCATATATTTGCTCAGCTGAACTCCACAAAATAACTTCGTGGACTGACATCTATGGGTTTGAAAGAAGTGAAGAAGAGATAATTGAGAAATCGGAATTAAGTGCCGAAGAATGCTGGAGAATGAAGGAAACCCGAAAATGTATATACGGTTCACTATCTATGCATGGAGAAGATCTGAAGACCAACACAAGACCAGAGCTCTCTGATATCCCAAATAGGTTTATGAGTCTCCTCAACAGGAGAGACGAAGAATTTGGAGTTTGTAAAGTACTGTCGACACTAGTTCTCGCTCATTTCGGATCGACAGAAGCAGTATGCCCAAGAATAGACCTAACCAACTGTAAATATGAAGACAACCAATGCCGAACCAAAGACGATCGGATGGTGGTATGGATTCACAACACAACACAAAACTGTCCATACATAAAAGCATCAACTGTTAAGGGAGTTAAAAACAACCAGACGTTCATATCTGAAGAAGAGGAACTGATGCTGACCTTTTCAAATAAGAGAACAGTGTCGTGCCAAGATAAGCTCTGGATATCGGATCAAGGAGTCCCGTTCCAATTTGAGAAGAATACGTCACCCAAGAAAAGAGATTTGACAACAGCAGAAAAACAGTTCGCGAGTCACGTCAACCTAGTAGATCTCCAGAACACAACAAGGATCCTATGTGACGAAATCAACCAACAAGGCCAGATATTGAATCAATTAATAGCGAGCAAACCAGCCGAATTCGCCCAAAGACTTCTCAACCGAACAGACGTAAAAGTACAATCAGTAGGGCACGGCATCGTGAGTATTACCTTTTGCACCACAGTGCCGGATGAAAAAGTACACTTCCAACAAGAAGAGACCAGAGAATTTAGAATAAAAGTCAACGTAGATGGAAAAGGGATAATGTTCTTGGACCCAGTTACGGAGGAATTACATTTGAATCCGTCAGGCCTTTTCACAGATACGGAACGAGTTGTCCGACATAACGGCAAATACTTCAGATCAACACAAGGATATCTCCAACCGATTAACGTTGTAACAGACGAACGAGAAGAAGTGCAAGTTCTCACCAAAGAATTCGTCTTCAAGAAGGGCCATTCCCTCACCACCCCGTGGCTGGACGAAATGTTGGTAAAAGAATACTTGAAATCACACAACGACCTCATCGAGTCCTTTTCTAAGCCAATCGTCAGGAGATCATCAAAGACGTGGAGAGAAGAAATCACAGAAATCATCGTCTCTCCAATTCTGCCTTACTTACGGTTGTGGTGGTCAATCTGTGCGGGACTAGTCTCGCTATACACAGTTACGTCGATCCTAAACAACTTCACCGCAGAAAAGAAGATCCAACTCAAGATGCCAAGGAGGAATGCCAGGAAGAAAAATCCTCTCCGACGAAAGAGGAAAAACAACCGGAGGTCATCCCAAAGGCCCAATGAAGAAACCCCGCTTGGAATAGTCTTCCAAAGGGCAGAACTGCCGAGGAGATCTGTCAAAATAAGGCAACTTCTCGCGCGCGGAGTGTCGCGACCACCGCGAAAAGCCTAAAGACGCCTGCTGTAAAGTGCGTCAAAAATTTCTTTTCCCAAAAAATTTCTTTCCAATAGATTTAAAAATTAGATAGGCCAAATTTCGGGATAGGGCCGTCTCGATTTCTTTATATAAATTTTTGATCTTTATTTTTATATATTCTATATATTTAATTGTCGATTTCATTATATATCGGGAATATTTTTTGTTTTGGTTTATTAACCCAAGTTTGAGGTTTTGAATAAAGTTTGGTCAACAATCGAGTTACCAACATCTTAAATTATTGTACAACGGAGTACAATAATTATCATTGTCGAGCGCACGGAGTCGCGGCGACAGACAAGACGTACACCATTCGAAAGCTAATCGCCTGAGATTTTAGCATGGCAAGTTTCAGCATTTTTGGAATCAAACTGCGCCCACACTGGGCGAAACACTCTGATATTATACTAGACACCGGTTTTGAAAAAAGGTGAATTAGTGATGACGGAGTGAATTGACAAGACATACACCATTCGAAAGCTAATCGCCTGAGATTTTAGCATGGCAAGTTTCAGCATTTTTGGAATCAAACTACGCCCACACTGGGCGAAACACTCTGATATTATACTAGACACCGGTTTTGAAAAAAGGTGAATTAGTGATGACGGAGTGAATTGACAAGACATACACCATTCGAAAGCTAATCGCCTGAGATTTTAGCATGGCAAGTTTCAGCATTTTTGGAATCAAACTACGCCCACACTGGGCGAAACACTCTGATATTATACTAGACACCGGTTTTGAAAAAAGGTGAATTAGTGATGACGGAGTGAATTGACAAGACACACACCATTCGAAAGGTAACCTCCTAAGATTTTAGCATGGCAAGTCTCAGCTTTTTTGGAATCAAACTACGCCCACACTGGGCGAAAAACTCTGATATTATACTAGACACCGGTTTTGAAAAAAGGTGAATTAGTGATGACGGAGTGAATTGACAAGACACACACCATTCGAAAGGTAACCTCCTAAGATTTTAGCATGGCAAGTTTCAGCATTTTTGGAATCAAACTACGCCCACACTGGGCGAAACACTCTGATATTATACTAGACACCGGTTTTGAAAAAAGGTGAATTAGTGATGACGGAGTGAATTGACAAGACATACACCATTCGAAAGCTAATCGCCTGAGATTTTAGCATGGCAAGTTTCAGCATTTTTGGAATCAAACTGCGCCCACACTGGGCGAAACACTCTGATATTATACTAGACACCGGTTTTGAAAAAAGGTGAATTAGTGATGACGGAGTGAATTGACAAGACATACACCATTCGAAAGCTAATCGCCTGAGATTTTAGCATGGCAAGTTTCAGCATTTTTGGAATCAAACTACGCCCACACTGGGCGAAACACTCTGATATTATACTAGACACCGGTTTTGAAAAAAGGTGAATTAGTGATGACGGAGTGAATTGACAAGACATACACCATTCGAAAGCTAATCGCCTGAGATTTTAGCATGGCAAGTTTCAGCATTTTTGGAATCAAACTACGCCCACACTGGGCGAAACACTCTGATATTATACTAGACACCGGTTTTGAAAAAAGGTGAATTAGTGATGACGGAGTGAATTGACAAGACATACACCATTCGAAAGCTAATCGCCTGGGATTTTAGCATGGCAAGTTTCAGCATTTTTGGAATCAAACTACGCCCACACTGGGCGAAACACTCTGATATTATACTAGACACCGGTTTTGAAAAAAGGTGAATTAGTGATGACGGAGTGAATTGACAAGACGTACACCATTCGAAAGCTAATCGCCTGAGATTTTAGCATGGCAAGTTTCAGCATTTTTGGAATCAAACTACGCCCACACTGGGCGAAACACTCTGATATTATACTAGACACGGGTTTTGAAAAAAGGTGAATTAGTGATGACGGAGTGAATTGACAAGACATACACCATTCGAAAGCTAATCGCCTGAGATTTTAGCATGGCAAGTTTAGCATTTTTGGAATCAAACTACGCCCACACTGGGCGAAACACTCTGATATTATACTAGACACCGGTTTTGAAAAAAGGTGAATTAGTGATGACGGAGTGAATTGACAAGACATACACCATTCGAAAGGTAACCTCCTAAGATTTTAGCATGGCAAGTTTCAGCATTTTTGGAATCAAACTACGCCCACACTGGGCGAAACACTCTGATATTATACTAGACACCGGTTTTGAAAAAAGGTGAATTAGTGATGACGGAGTGAATTGACAAGACATACACCATTCGAAAGCAAATCGCCTGAGATTTTAGCATGGCAAGTTTCAGCATTTTTGGAATCAAACTACGCCCACACTGGGCGAAACACTCTGATATTATACTAGACACCGGTTTTGAAAAAAGGTGAATTAGTGATGACGGAGTGAATTGACAAGACATACACCGTTCGAAAGCTAATCGCCTGAGATTTTAGCGTGGCAAGTCTCAGCTTTTTTGGAATCAAACTACGCCCACACTGGGCGAAAAACTCTGATATTATACTAGACATCAGTTTGAAAAAAAGTGAATTAGTCATGACGGAGTGAATTGACAAGACATACACCATTCGAAAGGTGACCTTCTAAGATTTTAGCATGGCAAGCCTCAGCTTTTTTGGAGTCAAACTACGCCCACACTGGGCGAAAAACTCTGATATTATACTAGACATCAGTTTGAAAAAAAGTGAATTAGTGATGACGGAGTGAATTGACAAGACATACACCATTCGAAAGGTGACCTCCTAAGATTTTAGCATGGCAAGTCTCAGCTTTTTTGGAATCAAACTACGCCCACACTGGGCGAAAAACTCTGATATTATACTAGACACCGGTTTTGAAAAAAGGTGAATTAGTGATGACGGAGTGAATTGACAAGACATACACCATTCGAAAGGTGACCTCCTAAGATTTTAGCATGGCAAGTCTCAGCTTTTTTGGAATCAAACTACGCCCACACTGGGCGAAAAACTCTGATATTATACTAGACATCAGTTTGAAAAAAAGTGAATTAGTGATGACGGAGTGAATTGACAAGACATACACCATTCGAAAGGTGACCTCCTAAGATTTTAGCATGGCAAAGTCTCAGCTTTTTTGGAATCAAACTACGCCCACACTGGGCGAAAAACTCTGATATTATACTAGACATCAGTTTGAAAAAAAGTGGATTAGTGATGACGGAGTGAATTGACAAGACATACACCATTCGAAAGGTGACCTCCTAAGATTTTAGCATGGCAAGCCTCAGCTTTTTTGGAATCAAACTACGCCCACACTGGGCGAAAAACTCTGATATTATACTAGACATCAGTTTGAAAAAAAAGTGGATTAGTGATGACGGAGTGAATTGACAAGACATACACCATTCGAAAGGTAACCTCCTATGATTTTAGCATGGCAAGTTTCAGCTTTTTTGGAATCAAACTACGCCCACACTGGGCGAAAAACTCTGATATTATACTAGACATCAGTTTGAAAAAAAGTGAATTAGTGATGACGGAGTGAATTGACAAGACATACACCATTCGAAAGGTGACCTCCTAAGATTTTAGCATGGCAAGTCTCAGCTTTTTTGGAATCAAACTACGCCCACACTGGGCGAAAAACTCTGATATTATACCAGACATCAGTTTGAAAAAAAAGTGAATTAGTGATGACGGAGTGAATTGACAAGACATACACCATTCGAAAGGTGACCTTCTAAGATTTTAGCATGGCAAGCCTCAGCTTTTTTGGAGTCAAACTACGCCCACACTGGGCGAAAAACTCTGATATTATACTAGACATCAGTTTGAAAAAAAGTGAATTAGTGATGACGGAGTGAATTGACAAGACATACACCATTCGAAAGGTGACCTCCTAAGATTTTAGCATGGCAAGTCTCAGCTTTTTTGGAATCAAACTACGCCCACACTGGGCGAAAAACTCTGATATTATACTAGACACCGGTTTTGAAAAAAGGTGAATTAGTGATGACGGAGTGAATTGACAAGACATACACCATTCGAAAGGTGACCTCCTAAGATTTTAGCATGGCAAGTCTCAGCTTTTTTGGAATCAAACTACGCCCACACTGGGCGAAAAACTCTGATATTATACTAGACATCAGTTTGAAAAAAAAGTGAATTAGTGATGACGGAGTGAATTGACAAGACATACACCATTCGAAAGGTGACCTCCTAAGATTTTAGCATGGCAAGCCTCAGCTTTTTTGGAATCAAACTACGCCCACACTGGGCGAAAAACTCTGATATTATACTAGACATCAGTTTGAAAAAAAAGTGAATTAGTGATGACGGAGTGAATTGACAAGACATACACCATTCGAAAGGTGACCTCCTAAGATTTTAGCATGGCAAGTCTCAGCTTTTTTGGAATCAAACTACGCCCACACTGGGCGAAAAACTCTGATATTATACTAGACACCGGTTTTGAAAAAAGGTGAATTAGTGATGACGGAGTGAATTGACAAGACATACACCATTCGAAAGGTGACCTCCTAAGATTTTAGCATGGCAAGTCTCAGCTTTTTTGGAATCAAACTACGCCCACACTGGGCGAAAAACTCTGATATTATACTAGACATCAGTTTGAAAAAAAAGTGAATTAGTGATGACGGAGTGAATTGACAAGACATACACCATTCGAAAGGTGACCTCCTAAGATTTTAGCATGGCAAGCCTCAGCTTTTTTGGAATCAAACTACGCCCACACTGGGCGAAAAACTCTGATATTATACTAGACATCAGTTTGAAAAAAAGTGAATTAGTGATGACGGAGTGAATTGACAAGACATACACCATTCGAAAGGTGACCTCCTAAGATTTTAGCATGGCAAGTCTCAGCTTTTTTGGAAACAAACTACGCCCACACTGGGCGAAAAACTCTGATATTATACTAGACATCAGTTTGAAAAAAAGTGAATTAGTGATGACGGAGTGAATTGACAAGACATACACCATTCGAAAGGTAACCTCCTATGATTTTAGCATG